GCGTTCGGACCGTCGCGAGCGCGCTCCGGCGGGCGGTCCGGGGACGGGGACGGGACGGGACGGGACCCGTGCAGCCCGCCAGCCCACCCCGCCGCGACGAACCCACCTGTCGCCGGTCAGGTCCCCGCAGCCCCGTTAGCCCCGCAGCCCGCTGTCCGCGCGCGCTGCGGCCACCCGCGTCCCGCCAGCCCCGTTAGCCCGCCCAGCCACCTGGTCCCGCCCACTGCCCAGCCTGGTCCCCGCCAGCCCACCCTGTACCCACGCGCGCCGCCAGCCCTGCCAGGTCCCCGCCAGCCCACCCGGTGCCCCACAACCCACCTGCTCCCGCACGTCCCCACCAGCACACCCCGTCCCGCGCCGCCGTAGCCGCCGCCATGGGTCCCCGCCAGCCGCGCACGGTCCCGCCGCCCACCCGGTCCCACCAGACCCACTTGCTCCCTGCCAGCGTCCGCGCCAACCGTAGCCCCGCCAGGTCCCCGCCAGCCCTGCCAGGTCCCCGCCGGCCGTAGCCCGCCAGCCCTGCCAGCGTCCCCGCCAGCCCACCCGGTCCCGCGCCCTGCAGCCGTCCCGCAGCCACCGTCCCCGCACTCCCGCGCGGGCCGAGCCGGAGGGCCGCCCGCTACCTGCTCGGGCGGCGGGGGCCGTGCGGCGGCGCTGTGGCGCGGAGCGGCGGCGCCGCGCGACGCGTTCCTTCAGGAAGGGTGGATCTCCCCGCGCCCGCGGGGTACCCGCCGCGCCGCGCGCCTCCGCGTCCGCGGCCCTGATGCCGCCCCGCCCGCCCGCCCCTCGCGTCACGACGCGGGTGCGCGCGTCCCACTGACCCCGCCGCCGCCGTCCGCTGCCCGCCGGTCCCTAGCCGCGCCGGTCCCTCAGCCCCGGCCGGCCGCTCCTCAGCCCCGGCCGCCGCGTTCCCCTCAGCCCCGCGGCCGCGTCCGCTCAGCCCCGCCGGCCGCGTCCCCGCAGCCCGCGGCGCCCGCTCCCTCAGCCCCCGCCGCGCGTCCGCGCCCCGCCGGCCGCTCCCCTCGATCCCGCCGCGTCCCCTCAGCCCGCCCGCGTCCCTCAGCCCGCCGGCCGCGTCCCCTCAGCCCCCGCGCCGCCGTCCCTCAGCGCCCCGCCGGCGGTCCCCGCAGCCCCCGCCGCCGCGTCCCCGACGGCCCGTCCCTCAGCCCCGCCGGCCGCGCTCCCCGCCGCCGGCGGTCGCCTCAGCCCCCGCGGCCGCGTCCCTCAGCCCCGCGCGCGTCCCCTCAGCCCCGCGCCGGTCCCTCAGCCCCCGCGCCGCGTCCCTCAGCCCGCGCCCGGCCGCGTCCCCGCAAGCCCCCGCGGCCCGTCCTCAGCCCCCCGCGGCCGCGTCCGCCAGCCCGCGCCGCGTCCGCAGCCCCGCCGCGCGCCGCAGCCCGCGGCCGCGTCCAGCCCCCGCGCGCGTCCCCTAGCCCCCGCGGCCGCGCCCTCAGACCCGGCGCGTCCCCTCAGCCCCCGCCGCGCTCCCCTCACACAAGGAGAGACGGGCCCCGTTCTCGCGCGCGCGCTCAGCTTCCCCGACCGCGCCTGACCTTCCGGCCGCCCGCACCGCGGCGACAGCACGCCGCCGCCCTCTTCGCTCCCGGAGCCGCTCCCAGCCGGTCTCAACGCTCCCGGAGACGCCCGCGCGCGCCGTCGCGCGCTGCCTCTCGGCGCCTCGCCAGCGTCCTCACAGACTGTTCTCGTCAGCGTCTCACTGTGCTATGATTTTATTGGTTGTGATTTGTTGCGGTACCTTATTGATTATTTATTCTTTGGCGTTTAGTTCTATGTGTAAGTTCGTACGTCTGTATTCTAACTATTATTGTATATTTATTTTTATTTTTATGTATTGATTATTTGTATTATTGATTGTATTTTATTTTGGATTTTAGTTTTATTTTAATTATTGAAGGTAGTTGCATGAGGTGTTGATTGTGGTGGATTGGTATTTATTTATATTAGATGGTTATTTAACTGGTAACGATTATGTCTGCTATTTATGATGGAGGTGTGTGACGTAGGTGGATTTATATTATTTTCTTTGTTTTATTGTTGATTTTATTTATTTTTGGATTTTTAATTAATTTAACGATTTATTTCATTTTTGTCTTTTGTTTCATGGGGTATGTATGGGGTTGATGTTGAGGAGTGTGGTGTATGTGTGTATTGATGTCATTGTGGATGTTTATTTACTTATTTGTTTTTTTGAGTTGTATTTTTACTGCGTTGATATTTTTTATTTATGATTTGTGTGGGTATTTGTATTTTATTTTATTAATTTATTTTATGTTATTTTATATTTAATGTTTATTG